ACCAAACAGCAGGTATGGCACTATGGGATAGGCCCACCTCTCCCTCGCGTGGCCCGCGAGAGAACAACAAACAAACAAGGGGCGCGTGTTGACTCGATGCAGAGTCAAGAGAGGGATGGTCGGGCGGCCCGCCGTGCGCGGGTGTGCTGCGTGGTGGCCCACCCCGGGCTGGTCGGGCGGCCCGCCGTGCGCGGGTGGGCTGCGAGGTCGCTTACCTGGCGTTGCCTACCCGCCCAGCGTGCTTTGCCTAGACCCGATGCCTGTCCATAAGACGCCCCATACAAGCACTTTTGCCCCACCCTCCCCGCGCGGGGCGTCGTGGACCGCGAGATAACAAACAGGCAAGAGTGGCGTGTTTGACTCAATACGGAGCCAAGAGGCAGGAGAGGGATCCGCGAGCGACTGGGGGGGATCAGCGGGATCACGGCGCTCGCGTGCTTGTGCAGCAGGCGGCGACAAAGGCAGTCAACATCCGCAAAACAAGAGCAGTGGAGCGGGAAGTTCGAACGCCTGACACTGAAAAATGTCGTCGTAAATTTACAAAAAAAAATTGTAAACTCTAATTATAATTTAAGTTGTAAATTTACGACAACACACTTTTTACGCGCCAAGGGATTTGAAGTCGATACATACTGCATGTCTTTTTACGATTACAAATTGTAGTGTTACAACTTGCGTCAAGGAAAATTTTCCTGTAACCTACTTACATTTTTCTACATTGGAACGCAGACCGAAAAGGGAATGATAATTTAAACAAATAAGTACAACGCGCATAAGATGAAAAAGCAGGCAAACACTATATTTGCATAAACAATACAATTTCACTCAACACTAATGAAAAAAATCAAAATTAGAAATACAATTGACAAAGGGTTAACAATCAGACATTCCATTTAAATTAAAAAGAGAACTTTATAAACTGTTGTGAACGTAAATGAAGACTACCGGGTGTAGTGGACGTATATATTTATTGGCTCCAGTTAGTTGTTGTACAGCCATGGGCCAAGTCAAGACTGACCTCCCAGGTAGCGAACATCATAGTCGATTTAGTCTCGTACGGTGAGGCGTCCTCATTGGGATCGTCCAGAAAGTGCGTCCATTTTTCTCAAAATCATTCGGCAAGTAACGGGAGCTCGGCGCCTGCGAGACACGGGGTAGGCCACCCCGCAGTACACGCATGCACTGTAGGCAGGATGTTGCCTAGTCGTCAGGCGCTATGAGACCGTGATTAAGCTGAACTTGGTAGGTTCGTAACGGCGATTGATGGACGTACTTCCTGGACGATCCCTCTGAGGTTTTCAGCCAATCACAGCCCTCAAAACCTCTAAGGCGAGCTGCCTCAATGAGGACGCCTAAAGGAGGACGACTAAATCCACCATCAAACATGTAAACATTATCACGGCAGAGTGGGGGGACAAGCAGGGCTACCAGCCTAACTAAGTGTTCACAAATCACACTGTCACAACATATAAACATATGGTGTAAAAACGACAACAATCGATTACTATAGAGAATGACTGGATCATCCTCTTTATGGACCCACAGAGATGCACACACGAAATACGAGAGGAGTGGAAACTCACTGTAGTACACGGTGTATTGTTAGCGTTCCATACGGTGTCTCGCCGGTCTCGCCGTTAGTGCCCGAGCTTGGGTGCGAGAATTTCTAGTCACAAACTAAAATGTCTTCTACCTGGTGTGGGTTCGAAGATGCGTATGGAACCCCTTTGAAGAAGAGAATTTCTTGTCGCACACGCTGCATTTATACGGCTTCTCCCCTGTGTGGGTCCGAAGATGCTCTCTCAGAGCGCTGGATGTAGAGCATTTCCTGTCACACTCCGTGCATTCATACGGTTTCTCCCCCGTGTGAGTTCGAAGATGCGAGTACAATTGACTTGATTGCGCAAATTCATTGTGGCACACAGTACACTTATACGGTTTCTCCCCAGTGTGGGACCGGAGATGCTCACGCAGATTTCCTGGTTGTGAAAATTGCTTGTGACAGACTGTGCACTCAAACGGCTTCTCTCCTGTGTGGGTTCGAAGATGTCTCTTCAGTGCAAACGAAGTGGAACATTTCTTGTCACAAAAGATGCACTCGTACGCTATCTCTTCTGGGTGGGACCGCAGATGGGAGAACAATTGACATAGTGTTGCAAACTTTTTTTGGCACACCTTGCATTTGAGTGGTTCCTCCCCTTGGCCTTGAACATGAGAACGCAACTCAGATGAACTAGAGAACTCCTTGTCGCACAAGGCGCAAACTACTGGTTTTGTCGCCAAGTGGCTTAGAAGGTGCAAACGTAGATCATATGGCCTGGAATATTTCCTCCGACACAGGGAGCACTCAAATGGTTTCACCCCCGTGTGTGTTTGCATGTGTCTCTTTAAACCATTAGAACAAGTAAATTTCATGGGACACTCGCTGCACTCGAATGGTTTTTCTCCTGTGTGGATTCGAAGATGGGCCTTAAGGGCGGAGGATGTAGTAAACGCCTTGTCACACACGTCGCACGCATATGGTCTCTCCCCAGTATGTGTCCGCAGATGGACACGCAGAGTGCCCGGTCTTGCAAATGTTTTATGGCAAAGAGTGCACTCGAATGGTTTCTCTCCAGTGTGGGTCCGAAGATGGCGTTGCAGTTGGCCGGGCGAACGAAAGGCCTTGTGGCACTCGGTGCACTCATATGGCTTCTCTCCGGTGTGGGATAGAACATGTTGCTGTAGAATACATGAACGCGAGAACTTTTTGACGCACAGAGGGCACTCGAATGGCTTCTCACCGTTGTGGGTTCGTTGATGCTTTTGAAGACCGCCCCACTGGGCGAAACTCGTGTGGCACACGGTGCACTCGTACGGTTTCTGTCCAGTATGGGTTCGAAGGTGCACACGAAGATGGCTGCGTTGTGAGAATGTCTTTTGGCACACGCTGCACTTGAATGGTCTACTTCCCGTATTAGTACTAGCGGCACAACGCCGATATCAAAAATAACCTGCAAATTGTGATACCAGCAAGCCACTTTGCACACTTGTTCTTAACACCCAAATGGTCGATTTGGCCCGCCGTACCTATCTGAAATATGCTGCGGGGGTGGGTTTTTGGGGGGTGGCGTTAAAAACTACCCCTAAAATTGAAAGACGTTAAAATAAAGCTATGGGCGCGATCTAAGAGTCGATTCCGGCTAAATCCGACCCGCCGAACTCAAAAATGGCAAAATAAAATCTTTCCGGACAATATTTGGCCATATTTTGGGCCATTTTGGTCAATTTAGGGCCTAAATGACTTTTAACGGTTCTCGGCATGATGGGTATCGATTCTTGGGTTTTAAAGGGGTACAAACCGGTAGGAATGATGAAAATGACACCTGGGTACTTATCTCACGCTGTCTGACCCGTGGGGTACTATTGGGCACCGTGAGAAAGATACCCCATAAAACCGGTTTTTGCGAATTTTGAGCTACAGACGCGATCAAAGGGTCGATTCCGACTAAATTAGACTCTCTGAACTCGAAAATGGCAAAATAATTTTTTTCTGGCGGATATTTGATCATTTTGTACAAGATTTAACACACATTTTTCTGAAATTAGGGCTGAAATGCATTTTTTTTTACGAATTTGGCATGATGGGTATCGATTCCGGCAATGCGAGAGTGAACCATGCGTTTAAGATGTTTAAAATGATGCTGGAGTACTTTTATCACGATGCCTGACGCATGAGGTACCGTTACGCACCGTGAGAAAAGTACCCCATCAGATAGTCGTCTTGCCAACAGAGCTTCAGTCGTAGTTCAGGGGTCCAGTCGAGATAAATTAGACCAAACATGTAGCATTAAAGGTTTCGTGCTGCAAAATTTAGTTGTGGTTTAGGGGCGTTTGGAAAGCGACCCCGACCTTAAATGTTATTTGAATATATAATTGTCTTCACTATAAAAGGTCCGAATACATAAAATGTATATGTATGTCTTGCTACCCCTAATCATCTCCTAAGACATCATCTTCCTCAGTCTGGTGAGTAGCTTTTCTGAAAATAAGGCAATGGTTTACTACTTTTGGTTTGTCTTAATTTTTTTATGTTTTTGATTTTATGGCAGGATTGCATTGACTTACGGTTTGTTAGGCGAGGTGTGACGATATGTCATTTTTAAGTTTGATGGGCTTGATTTATCCCTAATCGAGAATACTGAACAGAATTTAACACGAATTTTTTTTTTAAATTAGGGCCGAAATGCATTTTTGTATGAATTTGGCATGATGGGTATCGATTCTGGCAATGCGAGGGTGAACTATGCGTTTAGGATGTTTAAAATGATGCTGTAGTACTTTTCTCACGCTCGCTGACGCATCAGGTATACCGTTGCGCACCGTGAGAAGGGTACCCCATCAGATAGTCGTCTTGCCAACAGAGCTTCAGGCGTGATTCAGGGGTCGATTCGGGATAAATCAAACCCATCAAACTTAAAAATGACATCTAGGGATGGGCGACTTTTAATCGATCTCGTCAGAATCGACCTTTTAAGGTTCGATTTTCGATCTTTTGAATCGATCTCAATGACAGGCGATATCGGCTGGATCGATTCGCAGACGTCCGATCTTCGGAGCGATTCACTCCTATAGTATAACCACGAAATTTGGTTCCCTTGCCCTTTCGGTAGAACATTTTCACTGCGGCGCGCTGGCATACTGTCTAGTTCTAGTAGTGTTAGTGTCCAGTAGTTAAACTAACAAGAAGAATATTTTCTTTAAATTGCACGAAATATTCAATTTTTAACAAATGTGATCTTATCTGGCGAATTCGACAAAAAATTATTCGATGTAGATCGATCTGGCTGAGATCGATCTTTTTTACACGATTAAAAGGTGGACCAATTTGAACCATTTTGATTGAGATCGATCCACGAGATCGATCTTTTGCCATTCGATCCCCATCCCTTATCGTCATGCAATCTTGCCATAAAATCAAAAACATAAAAAAAATTAAGACAAACCAAAAGTAGTAAACCATTGCCTTATTTTCAGAAAAGCTACTCACCAGACTGAGGAAGATGATGTCTTAGGAGATGATTAGGGGTAGCAAGACATACATATACATTTTATGTATTCGGACCTTTTATAGTGAAGACAAATATATATTCAAATAACGTTTAAGGTCGGGGTCGCTTTCCAAACGCCCCTAAACCACAACTAAATTTTGCAGCACGAAACCTGTAATGCTACATGTTTGGTCTAATTTATCTCGACTGGACCCCTGAACTACGACTGAAGCTCTGTTGGCAAGACGACTATCTGATGGGGTACTTTTCTCACGGTGCGTAACGGTACCTCATGCGTCAGGCACCGTGATAAAAGTACTCCAGCATCATTTTAAACATCTTAAACGCATGGTTCACTCTCGCATTCAGGAATCGATACCCATCATGTCAAATTCGTAAAAAAAAAGCAATTCAACCCCAAATTCAAAAAAAAGGGGGGTAAAACCTGGAAAAAAAGAACAAAAAACCCCCAAAAAAAAAATTATTTTGCCATTTTCGAGTTCAGAGAGTCTAATTTAGTCGGAATCGACCCTTTGATCGCGTCTGTAGCTCAAAATTCGCAAAACCGGTTTTATGGGGTATCTTTCTCACGGTGCCCAATGGTACCCCACGGGTCAGACAGCGTGAGATAAGTACCCAGGCATCATTTTCATCATTCCTAACAGTTAGTACCCCTCCAAAACCCAAGAATCGATACCCATCATGCCGAGAACCGTTAAAAGTCATTTAGGCCCTAAATTGGCCAAAATGGCCCAAAATATGGCCAAATATTGTCCGGAAAGATTTTATTTTGCCATTTTTGAGTTCGGCGGGTCTGATTTAGCCGGAATCGACTCTTAGATCGCGCCCATAGCTTTATTTTAACGTCTTTCAATTTTAGGGGTAGTTTTTAACGCCACCCCCCAAAAACCCACCCCCGCAGCATATTTCAGATAGGTACGACGGGCCAAATCGACCATTTGGGTGTTAAGAACAAGTGTGCAAAGTGGCTTGCTGGTATCACAATTTGCAGGTTATTTTTGTGTGCCGCTAGTACTATATGGATCCGCAGGTGAGTTTTTAGTGTGCCTGACGTTGCAAATGCCTTCTGACAAGTTGAGCACTCGAACGGTTTTTCTCCCGTGTGGATCCTCTTGTGGACGTTGAGCCCACTCTTTGTACTGCAGTTCTTATGACAAACTCGACATTGCACAGGCATGTCGACGAAATGAGCGGTTCGATGCGTGCGTTCGATATCTGAAAAGAGGTTGTCAGTGTAGTAAAAACGCCCTTTTTAACGATACGCTTGTTTTCGTTTCGAGTAAGTTTATCGATTATCGTGCACCTGTGCGGTTGTCGAGAGCCGTCAAAATTTTAAAATTTAAATCGACTTTGGTTTGTATGAGGAAGCTGCCCGATAAGAGGAACAAGAAGAAGGTAGCGCTGGCGGGGTGGCGTGGCGTAGTACCGACCCCAAATGAATCTGCTTGCGGGGAGGAGGCCTGGCTGGTCCGTGACGTCACGCACCACCGTGTTTTGGCCGCCGTTAGCGCGCAGTGTTCGGTATACCATCAGATCAGACACAAATGGAGATTTATAGATGTTCGAAAACTAGCTAATAAGTTTAAGAAAGGACTATACTGAAAATGATGAAAATAACAAAATGTAATTGACAAAAAGTGTAAAATCTAAAATAAGGGTTTAAAAGAGAAATGTGGACTTTTTGTAGATGTCTCACTTCTAGGTTTCATTTGAGCAATGGAATGACCAAAACTGTTGACACCCTGAAATTTTCGGAAACTGTATAAATTGAAGTAATTTCAATTCAAAAATTTCAAAATTTCTGTGCACAAACATTTTTTATGACATTGGTTGTCCCATAGCACTATTGAACCATGGAAGTAAGTACTTCAACAGTTATGAACTACAATTTTGATTTAGACCCTCATTCTTATTTCAAATTAGTTTTAGTTCATTAAACTTGGTGATGGAGATTTTCAAAATTTTCAGTAGTCTCGCCTTAAACATGAAAACTACATAAATTAAATATTTTGGACATGTAAAGCTCAATATGTGGCGTTAGCATCCGCTCTACTAATTTTAACAAGAGTGCTTGTTTCTTCAAATGATACCGACAACAATTCCCAAGTTAGAGACCTAAGCGAATCAATATTACATCAATTTGATATCAAAATTACATCAAATTCCACAATCTGAAAAATGTCATGGTGACGAACTGGTTGTAATGTTGTATTGATATCAACATTTTTTTTGAGAAATATGTGTGACTAAGACCCTGCTATTGAATTTATCATTATATTTTGAAGAAGTTGAAGTTGAAGTCATATTTTAGTCACAGACTATTTTGTCAGTACAGATATG